TATCCGCAACTTCATATATTTTAATCAACCAATTTCTGAACTGTAACCGAACTTGTTTGGTTTTGTTTATTGCTTGTTTTCTGATGTGTTTTTGTTTGATGTAACCAATGAATTTTAACCAACTTTATTATTTACACTTTGCTATACTGATGCCTCGGCTTTTTACTGTATAGTAATTCAGGTGTTCTTTCTTCTTCTTCAAATTAGCGGAATAAAAACAATTGTTCATGCGACGTGAAATACTCTCAGCGAGAAAATGGAAACAATCAGTGTGAAAACTTAAGTAAACTCGGACGTTGCTCACTTTTTCACGCGAAGTAAAAATCTTATTGCAAATGACGAAAACTGGCATTTCAAACCCGGATTAGATTGATCTTTAAAACCATATTTTATAGTTTCTTAGTGGGTAGCTCTGATAATTTGCTCTTGGTTTATGTAAAAACTTTTATGAAATTCGAATTAAATGTTGTCCAAAGTGGACATTAAAAACAGGCAATTCAGACAGTCAAAACCTGATTTTGCGCTTAATTTTGTCCAATAGTGTAGATCAAATCAAAATTCGCCACCCAATATTTACTTTGATCAAAAGTGCTTAGCGCGCTGTATAAAATATTCGAATCTGATCGGCTGAATATTAATTGAACATAATATAACTTATTTAACATCCTCCCCTTAATGCGCGTTAGGAGGGACGTTTAAATTATTTTTGTCTAATATCTTGATATTTTGAAATGTTATGCATATTTGTTTATCCACAATTTAGGGACTGAGTCTAACTTTCGTTCAAAGCCCTCGCTAGATAAAGGTTTCAAGCGTTTCGTCTACTGCTGATCAACTACCTTTATTTCAGTCTAAACTGATAATTTGAAATCAATGTAATAATTCAGCAGAAAGAAACTTCAACAGCTAACTGAAAGTATATACCAGTATACGATTGTCAACTCTTTTCTTTAACAGTGGCTCGGTTAAAGTTGCCAACGATACACTTTATATTTGCTCAGCTCAGTTTAAGTGATCTGGAAGATTAAATTCTGTGCTGATCATTTGTTTGTTCACTCTGAACATTTTTGCGTTGATTTGAGGAATAATATTCGTTAGTTTTATTATGTCTTTTATTCCAGTTGAACTTCTTATTGCGACTTGTATATCCTTTCTATTTTTCCATACTGCCTTCAAACTTCTGAAGAATTATGTTTTCTCTTACCTGCCACATGGTAAGCGATTCAGTTTAGCGGCTCTCATATATCATTTATCTATCTTGTAAAAAATGGAGAATCGTAATGGTTAATAAAATTCAAAAATTGTTTATTTGACTTCAAATGATAAGTATAGTTTTTGCGATATGGTTCTTTGTTTGGTTCAAAAAAAAGAAGTCGCTCTTATGATAATGTGATCCAAAGTTGCCTTGTTTCGGCATTATCATTTAAGCATCATAATTATATTAACTACAATGAAACTTCATTACTAACCTTTTTTTTATTAGAATAGCATATGAAAAAGCACAAGTACGCGTCAAAGTAGCAATTGTTCGATTTAAGAGATCCTTGACTTAATGGCAACGTGTTAGCTTTTGTGAGAGAAGATCTGTTGTCATGGCTTAATTCTTTGAATGCTTATTTAGATTTTTTTTCAACAATTTTCAGAACCGCTTTTTATTTGTGTTTTAAAAATTCAGTTTGGCCTCTGTTAATGATATATTTGTTGCCTGATCTGAATTTTCATTCATAGATCTGAATTTGCCGACTGCCCCTTTGGTTACAAGGAATAAATCACATTTTTAAGATATTTAAAAATTGATCCAACTTTCGATGAAAAGAAAAAATTCATTCAGACTTTTTTTTTCTATATTCCCCAAAACGCTACGTAAAGTACAAAGTGATGTAATTAGCGTCTAGCAATGTATTAATTGTTCGAAATAGTATGCCTCCAATCAAATGGAACTATATCTGAGCTGGATCGAATCGCGCGTTTATTGTCCCAAGTTAGCCAGAAAGAAAGAATTAATTTCTCCAAGTATTGTAACAATTTCAACAGAATTTAAGTGACAAGCAAATAATTTAGCACTGGAGAGTATAGCCAAAAGGGCGAAATCCCATAGGTTCCAATATTCATAGTTTCCAAAATAAAAATCAGTCGCATAAGTTCCAAAATTTATCTTCTTGAGTTCTGATTGGTTGAAACTTGAGCCAACGAATATATGGATTGATTGTTTCCTGTTCAACCAGCATAAACTCAAGCTGCAGAATTGTGACCGCCGCAGTCGCGCCAACGTGTTGCGAGCTTGCCAGCAAAGGGTAGGACTCTATACGAAATTTAGAGCCGGTCATCGCCCCAAAGCGGCGACGCGCGCCCACCGGCGACCTTAAACCGAGACTCGGCTAATTTAGTCTTGCGACCAATTGAAAAGATTTGGAACTTATGCGACTGCTTTTTTATTTTGAAACCTATGGGACTGATTTTTTATTTTGGAACCTATGAATACGCACCAGCCAAAAGGCGGGGTCCGATCGTTTAGCAGACCAATCTTTTAGCATAAAAAGTGAAAATTGAGTCTTTTAGCAGACTTTGATTGACAGGCAATTAGCTGGGGCGCCAGTAAGTCTGAGTTGAGCATCATTATTTCACGCTTTGTAAACAAAACTTGCACTCATTTTAGCAAGTTCCAAACTTAATCTCAGTTCATTCTCAATGAAATTCTCAAAAATTCCAGGCAAAAATCGGAGAGAAAACCTATTATGCAATGATTTTTTGTTCAAAAAAATCGAAAAAAAAGGATTTACTCAATATTACAAATGTATTGACAATAATTGTGGATCTAGACTTTCGTTCGATTTACAGAAAAATATTATTATAAACTTGCCTTCTAGTCATAATCATTTACCGCCCCAAGATGAATTAGCTGATCGAAATTTTCGCGAAAAACTCAAGAAAAAACTCGAAACCGATCCTACCACGAACCTGAAAAACCTGCATCAAAACGAATTGCAAAATTTTTTCAACGAATTGCTGAACGAGGACGAAAAAGAAAATTTTTTGCCTCCAAGTTACGAAAAAGTCCGTCAAGTTATGACCCGAAAACGATTAAAAGTTTTGCCGAAATCTCCTAAATTTTTCGCGGATATAAACATTGATCCACCATGGTTTATGACATTGAACAAAAAGCGATTCTTATTATATCAAGAAAGCAAAATTTTGATTGTTGCGACCGATTTTCGCCTAAAATTTTTGGCATTATCAAAAAACTGTCTTGCTGATGGAACTTTTAAGACGGCTCCACCTCCATTTTACTAAATTTATACCATATTTGGGTCATCGAAAGAATGGAAAATTCCAGTTGTTTGGGCCTTACTTGGAGAAAAATCTGAAGAAATTTACCAAAAACTTTTTAAAATTTTGTGCCAAGAAAAATCTGAAGAAATTTACCAAAAACTTTTTAAAATTTTGTGCCAAAAATCTCAAGAAATTTCGGGAATTTCTTTCATGCCGGAAAACTCTATCACAGACTACGAGACGGGTGTTATACCAGCTATTCGAAAAATTTTCTCTGTCTCGCAACATTCTAGTTGTTGGTTTCACTATTCCCAGTGCGTTTTGCGAAAAATTCAGGAATTTGGATTATATACTTTTTTTATGAACGATCAAAAAATTAAGTAGAGTATTCTGTGAATTGATAAAATTCAAAAATCTGCATTTTTGAGCCTTTTTATTTGAATAAAAAAGGAAGCTTTCTGATTGGTCATTTTTTGAGTCTACTAAAAAACCGGTCTGCTAAAAAACCGATCTGCTAAAATCCCTAGCACCCCAAAAGGCACATGTAATGCCTACTAATAGGCTACTCTTAAACAAAAATACAGTGAACTTTATTATCAAACATCAAAATTTTGAACAAAAATAATTTATTTATTGAAAAAATCTATTTATCGAACATCAACAACTCTATAAGTAAGTCACAGTTACTGACACTGCCATGTTGTATCGGACATTTGAAACCAAGATGCCAGCAGACAACAGAGGAAAATGCATAACAAGAAAACGAAAAAAAAAAACGAACCACAACTGAAAAAAAGACATTATTTTTCAAACATTTTCAAACCAGCATTATCTTGAAACTATGAACAGTCAGATACTCAATTTGACACCCCTGATTTTAACACACACGCGCGAGTGCATTTAAAGAAATTCAGCGGAAAGCTTTTGTTTGAATCATCAGAAACAAACTTCAAATAAAACTGACTAAAATCAAAAATAATTGCGATATCTCGAAAACCAAGAGGTTTGAGAAAATAATTTTCAGCTTGAATTGACAACCTTATTTTGCAAGCTCTGCAACAGTCACACACAATTAAATAAAACCGAAAAAATGAACAACTTTGAAGACAAATAGAGATAATTAAAAACATGAGCAGAATCGATTTTTTTTTCAAAAAGGCGTTTTTCTCGTAAACTATAGCGTTTCAGAAGGCAAAATTTGAACGGACGATTCTAAAATCATGTAAACCGCTTAGTGGTAATCAAGTAACTTATGAAAAGAAGAAAAATTGAATTAGCAATTTTCAACCCGCCATAACTTTCCGAAAAATTATCACAGGTGAAATATCTTTTCAAAATTGAGCAAATTACATGGCATAAAAAACTTCATACAGAAAGGCGTGTCGAAATGTTGAAATTGTCTGAAGAACCTTATCGATTACAAATATTCAATCCCTTCTTCGGAAGTCGGAACAACAAGGAAAGGTGTTTTTTTTTGGAATTTGAGTCTCGATTCTAAGGGTTCCGAAATAAAACCATTCATTATCTCCTACTTAAGGCAGTTGACTCCGAATCTGTAGGTAGCCAGTGGCCGAGGTTGGATTCCTGAGTGGGTATGCTTTCCTCGAAATCCGGACGAAAAAAATACCCTACGCCCCGGTTCCTTCCCACCCGTACTGGGTGGTCGGAACAAAAACTTCGATATGTATTTTCTTTTCCTCAGCGCTTAAAAGTGGAATAGTTTTTCCTACCTTGTGTATAATTTGGAGTCTTGTTAAAAGAATATTTGAAAGCTGGACAGACAGTAGATAGTATCAGTCGTCGATGGAGTTGTTATATCCTAAGAATGGTATTTTTCTAGAATCACAATTTGGGGACTTTAAAATGTGCAAATCAGATGCAAGTGATTAAATTTAATTTCATGGATTAAATTCAGGGTGGAGTTCAAGTACTTCTGGGATAAGAGGAAGTAAATTATGATTCTGTTTTAACCCAAGAGCAGCTTTTTAATAATCGCTACATTTTCGATAACGGAGCCCGCGTGGCATTATATCAGAGGGTACGTGGTGCTCAGTACTTCCTTACGGGAAATGTGCGTATTAAAATGTGATGAATTAGCAAGGGGTAGTTCCACCATCAAACATTTCTTGCTGCATACTGTAATAGCTCCAAGCAGAAATTGTTCAGCAAGCAGAGGTCAAATTACATCCCCAGTTCACGTAAAAAAATAAGGATGGCGTGCAGTTTTTTTCTTCAAGTTATATCCTCGGCTGTGCTAATTTTCAACAGCCTAATTGGGCTAGAACGAAAAAGACGGTTTTATTTAGATATTAACAGGAAGTTAGTTATAAAATTTATGCAACAAATGTAAATACTTATAATGAAAAACTGTCTGCTTGGCATTGATGTTCAGCAACCGCTGCTGAAGAAAATTGATTACAGAGTAACTCAGTTGATGCATTTTTTGTTCTGTTCTCCTCAGCTCAGCCGTTCTTTTTGTCTAAATTGACACGTTCACGGTGAATTAGATTTTTCTGACATCATCAATCAAATATTTACTTTTCAAAATATATCTGACAGGATTGAAACGGGTAGATTTCATGGGTAGCATATACCAAAAACCATACCCCATAGGTAAAAGAAAAATAAGATTTCTAAATTTTTTCCAGTTTTTTGTACTATAAGGAAAAAATACTTAACAGTTTCCAAGTTGTTTCATATGTGCTCAATACGCAACGTGTTAGTCACGCTGGACCTTTGGTCGCCGTATATAAGCTGATCATCATCATCATTTTTTTTAGACAACACTTTTTATTCTCCGAGGCGTTCGTTGATACAACTTTGAGTTTGTTGTTGAGTAGTTTCGTAGGCTCTTTATCATTATTCTGTGGGGTTGCTTTGTTTCAGATTGTTTAATTATGTGCTTTGCTTTGGTGCAATTTTTTGTGCACTAGTCATCATAACAGGCTCGAACCAGTTAAAAGCTATATAGCTCATTTGCTCCTCGGCAAGTCGACCCTCTAATGGGTACATTAACAGAGGAACATTAGCAGTATACAGATCCTGGGACAATTCGTGTAACTTTTCAGGTTTCGGGTGTAAATTATCTGAGGACAAAACAGTAATTCCAAACCTAAATAGTTGTTTTTAGTTTTAGCTGAAATTTTGAATGGAAGGGGGTGGCTTTAGTTAATTAATATATTAAACATTATGGCCGTGAATCGGATTCCTATTAAAAGCTCGCCTCACTGCTACGAAAAACGTTTTTCAGACGTTAATTAATCTGCTTTTAACCAGTTGTGTGAGCTCTCTTCCTCTCCCAAAAACAGTAAAAATGAATTTGATTTTTGCAACGATAAGTGTCAATATTTTTTTGCTAATTGCACAGCGACTGGCTATCCTTTATTTAAAACTTTTGCGATAGCAAGTGGCTAATAGTCGGGTGTAACTATCACATAAACAAATTTTATAGCTCGGAGCGAATGACTCCGGAGCACGTGACTTTTCAGCCGCATAGAATGGATACATGATTTCGAGCACATTGAAGTCAATAGAATTGTATATATTGTGATGTTTGAGTTTTCTGGGTTTTGAATGATTTTTTGATATAACAGAAATTTTTTCAATAAATAATTCAAATCTTTTTTTTTAATTTTGATTTTTCAAAGATGCATAACAAAATGGCTTCTTTCTCGCTAACTATTGTGGTTTTTTAGTAAATTGCTGTTTTCCTTTGCGTTTGACAAAATTCGTTAAAAAAAAAATGTTTTTTTTCTCCCCAGTTTTGTAAAATAAATGAGGGTGTTTTTTGCCAACAGCTGAAAACCCTTCGAAGCAACTGTCCAATGCAATTTCGACGAATGAGCTGTTTTCTTGTTACGTTTGGGATTAGCAAGCGTTATCAAATTGGAGTAAAGTCTTTTTTCGGGTTAACGAGTTCAACAAAATCACTAAATCTTTTATGCAGTTATCGCTTTTACATTCAGTTCTGCAGCAAACATGCTCAATTTCTTGAAATTTCAATTTTGGTTACTGTTTACGAAAATTAGTTGACGGCTATGAGCCTTGGCTCAAATCCGGCAAGGAACTGTTTTTTAAACTCAAAATATTTAGTATCAAAAAATGCTTAGTTACCCTATTTTTTACCTGTCTTGTGCTGTGATCTAATTTTATTGCAAATGAAAGTGTTTTTGATTCTCTTATGTTTGGCCTAAATAGTCTCGGTGTTTGTTTTTTTTCGGCTTATGGACCTATTTTTGAGTCTTATGAAGCAGAAAATAGATTTTCATCATTTAGCGCGTTTCCGAAAGAGAAGAGCTGTAAAAATTTAAGTTTCACAACAACTTCATGAACAACTCACTTACCAGATGCTTGATTAATTTTTATGAATTTTTTGCCGGTGATTGTGTTGCTGGACATGCTCTCCTGAAATTGAACATCATTCGAGACAAAAGTTTGGAAACTTTTATAGATGTAATTTTGATTTTCACTTTTTTCCAAGTTTGGTATCGCAAGTGGTGGGAAGCTCCGCTCCGCCTGTATAAAGGAATGGAATGCACTGCTTCTGCTTATTTTTACGTGAATAAGCTTGCGAGAGCGTTGTGTAATAATATGAGTCCGTGTTTTTTCAATTTAACTCGCATAAACTTCGCTCTTAGTCTTCTTGAGTTCATTGACAACTTCCCAACTATCTGTTGGGTATTTCTTCTGGTTAAACTATAATTTGTCATTTTTCTTTCTATGGTTTGGAAGTTTGACTTTTGAAGTTATCATATCAGTTCATTTCTGAAATGAAACGAAAATTGAGCCTTCTAATAACATAAGTGCAAATTAGGCATGACTCTTAGTTGCATAAGAGTTTTTTTATTAAAATCTAGCAGAATTAAAAATCTTATTTTGAAATGAAAGAACTAAATAAATAAGGTGAATTCATTTCCTCTTTTTTAGAAATTGTTTTTCCTTTTTGTTTCCTTCATTTCATGAGTACTTGTCAACCTTTTATTGGCTGATTCAAACTTTTCATTTTCCTTTTTTAAAACATTGAATCGTTTATTACCTAATTCTTGGAGGTTATTTTAGTACCTTCACCCCTCCCCTGCCCAGGAAAACGGCTGAAACGTTTTACAAGAATTTTGAGGTGAAATGGAATTTTTGCAATTTTTTTTGGCAATGATAATTTTGTTTTATTTTTCGTGGCTTTAAAAGGAACAGCCGTGCTTCAAAAATTGATTTTTCAGTTCTGAAAGCTTAGTTTATGGCTAGCTCGTCAGTTTTCAAAATTAGTTGAAAGTTTTCTGGTGCGGTGTTTCGAACCCCATAGCATCCAAAAGCAAAATTTAGAGGGCGAGGGGTAGTTGCGGTTGACCTCCTTTCGATTTATTAGAGCAAGCTATTGTTTTGAAATCAGTGATTCGGGCTGAAAGTTTATCTTATTTTTCGTTTCAGACAAATGTGTTCTTTGCTCTTCTTATTTCGTGTCGCTGATTCACGTGTTACCCGTAGTCGTGGCTTCGGTAAGGGAAAGTTATGTAATAGCTAGCGAGCACGATGACATAATATCGGCAATCGAGCGACCCAACTCGGAACTGTTCCAGTACACGAGTGCTCTGCTAGGTGGTTACATGATATATGACATAATAGAAATAGCGAGAAATGAACAAATATACGACCCTCTTTTCTTCATACACCATCCGGTGTCTTTTATTGGAGCGTATGTCGGAATGACTGGAATTTACGAGACTCTGATCTTGCCATATTATCTGGGTGAAATTCCAGTTATTTTCATCAATCTATTTACGGTCATAGCTTACACTTGTCCGAAGATTGACGTGACTCTTTTGCAGTTATCAGCAGCTCTGAATTTCATTTTGTTCAGACTTTCTTGGACATTTGTTTTACCTTACATGCTTTTGACCGGATGCGAAAATGTTTCGGAATGTGTGAAGTATCCGGGAAGCTTCGCAGCTCTTACGCTCGTGTTTTTCACTTTATCGGTTCTTAATTACTATTGGTTCTCGAAACAAGTGTACGTCTTTCTGCAAATGAGGAAAGAAACAACTAGAAAAAAGAGCTATAAAATGAACTGATATAAAGCGGGAAGAAGTATGCATTAACTGTCAAAGTTAGCAGTAATAACTGGTTACTAGATAATTGCTTCTGCTCGTTGTATGCTAATTGAAAAATTAAATTTTGTTTGATGCAATCTTTTTTTTGTATTAGGGGACAGCGTTTCTTATTATAGCGATATATGTTCTCAGGGTTGCCAACTGGTCGCTTTTATAGTGACAGGTCTTGATTGGGCTCTAAAAGTTCTCTACTTTTGAACATTCATGAATGTAGTGAATACTCTCACATAGGTCTTGTGGCTTTTCGGTTTGTTAGGTTTTTTTCATGAAAATTTTTTCACGCTCAAATTTGGTTTTTCCCAGTTTGACTTTTGATTTCCTTTTGAATTCAGTTCATTTTCGTTATTAAAAGGAAAGCAAACTCCACTATCGAACAGCAAAAGTGTAAAGGTCACGAAAAACGTGATCGACTTCTAGTTTCGAAAATGAATGTTCAGATTTCCCAACGGAATAAAAAAATTTTCCTTTTGAGCCAGTTTTCTCAAACTGGGTTAATTTTATCAAAAAATTGTCAATCAGAAGTTGTTCTTAAATTTCATTTAAGACTATATGTTTTTTCTTGGAGATTCGAAAATTGAAGATTTTTCTAAAATTAAATCAGTTTTCTTTCTATTTCCTTGCGTTCATGACTCTTTTCCAAATCTCGGTTGGCTATGTTTTACTGGTCAGTATGTTTCAATCAACAAGGGAATGTTAAGTACTTGTGTATTTTATCGTGCTTTGAGAGCTAGGAAAATCAAATTTGGCGACCTAAAAATAAGGTCATCAAAATTTTCACTATTTTTTTTTAAAAATCCGTTCTCTTTCCCCAAGAATATCCTAGATTCGCGCCTGCGTTTTTAGTTAACATTTTTTGTTCCGCCCATCTGAAAAATAAGGAGGAAGTTTTGTATTCAGGTGTGGTTTAGTTTTTTCTTTGTTTTTGTTGTCCACGCTAAATCAGGTACCACAAATAATCATCGGAATGAATTGAGTGATATACGAAATTGAAGCCCTGTCAGTTTTAATTTGAACCACATTTTAAAACTTTAAAAAAGTTTTGTCAGTATCGAGAAAAACTGGCTTAAAGTTTTTGTTTTTCAATTTTGAGCGAATAAAGCGAGCGAGCAGTCTTACAACTGCTTAATTTTGCCTAACATAACTTAATCAGGTCAAATTAGTTTTTGAAGTTTTATTAGCTCCATTTTGGGTACTAAAAAATTCAAAACAAATCAAAAGTTTTCTGGAAAAAAACTTTTGACAGAAGTTTCGAAATTTAGTTTTTTTTTGGTCTTTCAGCGAACTTTTTTTTTTAGAATTTGCCTATATTAATATGACTGTCAAATTTTCCTAGATTTTATTTTTATGTTAGATCTTTTTATCACACCACGC